GCGCTGCCGAAAGCTGCCTGACTGCCGTGCTTGGGGCGGCAAAATACATAGAGCCGCCCCTGCACGTGTCCCCCCAGAGATGCTGCTTGGCTTGTACTGAGCATGCTCACATGGATTGAGCAGACTCAGTAACATCTGCTGAAGCCACTGCCCTCACTCTGTTCCCCACTCTCAGCAGGTACAGGTTGTCTCTGGACAGGTAAGTAACATCTTTTTCTTCGTGTTGTGGTCCCTATATGTATTCCAAATGTGGGTGAGTATCGAGCAGTGATCAGCATGGAGATGGGTGCCAAGATGCAAGAGGTAGCACAGCCTGCAATATGGCATGGACCACTGCAGTGTCTTCAGCCGTCTCTTGGGTGATACTGTAATGGGTGGTGAAGGTATGTACTGAACACCACGTCGTGGCCCCACAGATGTCTGCCAGGAGACATCTGCTAGGGAGCTGGATGTGGCTGCTTGCGCCGGCATTGAGTGCACTGTAATTCCGTCAGGCGGTGGGATGTTGGAAAGTGTGTAGCATTCTTAGATACAGCTGGATACCCATTTTGAGATTTGTTGGGAGGAGAGGGCTTGGCCCTTGAATCAGTCAGCAATGGAAATTAACAGTCTTGTTGACATGCGAAAGGCATAAGTTCTGTGGAGGTAGAATGCTCGCGCATCACAGACGTTGAGGGAATGGAGGGAAGACTGTCTGCAGGGAAGACGTGTGGCTTAGGATGGAAGACTGGGAGGTGGATTGATTGGTTTTGGTGTAACTCTGAGTCCACCTTTGGGAGGAACGTGGGATGCAGTCGCAAAAAACCTTGTCTTTATGACAGTGTAAGTGTGGGGATAAGGGGGTAATCCATCATGGCAGCTAGTTCGCTGACCTGCAGAGCCGAAGTGATGGCCACGAGGAAGATTACCTTCATGGAGAGATGTGAGAGGGAGCACGTTGCCATTGGGTTGAAAGGTGGAGAGGACAAGATTAAGGTGCCACAGGATTGTGGGTTTTAGTACCAGCAGGAAGCTATTGAGAAGCCCTTTCATGAAGTGAACAGTGGTGGGGTGAGTAAACACCAAGTTGCCATCTTCAGTGATTGGTCCATCCCCTTTTTTGCTGCATTGCAGAAGCAGAACATCCTCCTAAACGAAACTGAAGGTTCTTACAAGTCTAATTAACAAAACTGGGGGAAAATAAATTATTTCTCTTTCTTTCAAGGAAGTGTTTTTAATGCTGACCATTCCTGGAAGATGCTATTCGAAGGCTCACCCAAATATGATAGGCTGGAAGACTGGAGGTAAACACAACTGGGGTTGAGAATATGAGCAATTTAGCAATAGATATACTTACTCTCCTATCCTCTGGACTGAGCTGGGTCATTAACATGTTCATATTTTCTGAAGACCACTCCCAGGACTGACAGGTGAAATATTCCAGAAGCATCATAGACTTGTGCAGCCGATTGAAGATCTTCATCATCCTGGAACAGTGCAGAGGTGTCGGCGCCGTGCAGAGCCACAGCAGCACATATAATGAAATAAGGAGAACTTGCTCTTATCTGAAAATTGGAGTTTCATGCAGGGCTCTCCTACTTTACATAATAGGTTTCTCCATGGAGCTTAATGCCTTAGTTGCTTTTGCTAGTTATTGTGAAGCTGAGTTTTGGGACTGAGCCATCCAGCAGCCTCCTCTTCTGTTCAGCAGGCTGATAACTTGCTTAGCAAGTATAGAACAATTCCAACTGAGGCCCTGATCCTGTAGCTGGCTCCTCAGGGACAGACCCTGGTGCCTGAGAAGATCACTATTGGCTTCAGTGAGACTCAACATGAGCATCAAGTATCAGGGGGTAGCCGTGTTAGTCTGTATCTACAAAAACAACAAGGAGTCTGGTGGCACCTTAAAGACTAACAGATATATTTGGGCATAAGCTTTCGTGAGTAAAAACCTCACTTCTTCGGATGCATAGGAAGAAGTGAGGTTTTTTACTCACGAAAGCTTATGCCCAAATAAATCTGTTAGTCTTTAAGGTGCCACCAGACTCCTTGTAACATGAGCATGATGCTGTACCTACACAGAGCCAGTTGCAGGACCATGGCCTAACTTACTAGTTTGAACCAAATAACAGTAACAAACTGACTAAGTCCTATAACCTAGGACACACATAATACCTATAACATAGGTATCTTTCAGACCCCCTTTCTCCATGTGTACTATTGCAGGAGTTTTGAACAGTTCAGGTGCTCTAAATGATATCCCCTTTCTTAAATGGGAAGGGCCTGGTGTCAGAGCACTCTGAGTGAAGGATTCTTGACTTTTGTAAAAGTCATACAACCATAGCTGCTGAGAGTCTGGTAGCTATCTCTCAGAGTTCCTTTTCCAGAGGAAAGATTCATAGATTCCTAGGCCAGAAGGGGCCATTGTGACCATCTAGTCTGACCTCCTGCATAAAAAACAGGCAATAGAACTAACCCCAAAATAATTCCTAGAGCATATCTTTTAAAAAAAACATCCAATCTTGATTTTAAAATAGTCAACAATGGAGAATCTATCACAATCCTTGGTAAGTTGTTCCAGTGGTTAATTACTCTCACTGTTAAAATTCAGACTGGAAATAAGGCATAGATTTTTTTTTAATCTAACTTCAACTTCAAGCCATTGGATTGTGTTATACCTTCCTTGGCTAAACTGAACAGCCCATTCTTCAATATTGGTTCCCTGTGTAGATATGTATAGACTGTAATCACCCCTTAACCTTCTCCTGATTAAGCCAAATAGATTGACCTCCTTGAGTCTATCACTAGAAGACATGTTTTCTAATCCTTTAATCATTTTCATAGCTCTTCTCTGAAACCTCTCCAATTTATCAACATCCTTCTTGAATTGCTGACACCAGAACTGGATGCAGTATTCCATCAGTGATCATACCAGTGCCAAATTCAGAGGTAAAATAACCTTTCTATTGCTCCTTGAGATCCCCCTGCTTATGCATCCAAGGTTTGCATTGCCTCTTTTGGCCACCGCATCACACTGGGAGCTCATGTTCAGCTCATTATTCATCACAACCCCCAAATCTTGTTCAGAGTCACTGTTTCCCAGGATAGAGTCCCCCATCTTGTAAATATGGCCTACATTCTTTGTTCTTTGGCCTCTCTGTTGAAGATGATAACAACGGTGAGGCTGGGTTTTGGGGACTCCTGTCCACAGGGAGATGAACATTGACCACTAAATCCTTCCACACAAGCCACCAAACAGTGGACAGGGAGTAACAATTCAACTCAGGTTAACTCTGGCTGGCACCTGGAAAGTAAATGCATTTTGATGGCTAAGAAGTTAGGACTGAGTGTTTGTGGGGGGAAGATTATGGGTGGGTGCCATAGTGGGTAAAGGGGAATCTGAATCATCTGGGCACTTGCTGGGGAGCAGGAGACCAGCAGAAGATGTAGCATCATAGATAGAGGAGAAGGCACCATGATGCTGTGTGAAGGAAAAGAACTACTTGAAGGTGTGGAAGCTGGAAGAGGCATCTGAGGGACAATAAGAGAATTCAAACTGATGGGATGGAGGAAGGTTTGGATTTAGATGTTGCAGTGGGTGGTGAGAAGGAAGTCAAGGCTATGTGTAACACCAACAGACCCCTGTCGTTGGCAGGATTGAACCGGGGACCTCTGGAGTTTAGTGCATGAGCCTCTTCTGTATGAGCTAAAAGCCATATGGCCCTTAGCTAAGATTATAGAACAGACTCATTAATCTCTCTCTCTCTAAGTGGTCTCAGTGCCACTAGATGGGACAGAACACCACACCCAGGAGGCATGTGGGTTACATATGCACTTGTCTGAGGTGGAGAAGAGGGGTAAGGAGACAGTTTGGCAGCCGGGGGAGGGTCAGTGGAATACTCAATGATACAAGGCTGTGTCCTGTTTGCCCAGCTCAGAGATCTGAGAGTTCAGGGGGTGGGAGGTACTTCTCAGCCTGAATAAATTCCAAACTGCATTTGAAATTAAAGTTTAGGATTATAGCTGACATTTCTGCATCTACTACAAGAATTATTGCAGGGATGTCTTATGGCCTGTGTTATGTAGGACGTCAAACTAGATAATCACAGTGGTCCCTCTGGCTTTATAATTTATGGACTTAGTGGCAACAATCTTGCTGAAAAGGGCCATCATTTGTAACACCAGCAATAACTATATTTAGCACTTATTACTGTTATTTATTTGCATTACAGTGCCTAGAGCAGTGGTGGGCAACCTGCAGCCCATTAGGGTAATCCACTGGCGGGCCGCCAGACAGTTTGTTTACATTTGCACGGCCACCCACGGCTCTCAATGGCCGCGGTTTGTTGTTCCCGGCCAATGGGATCTGTGGGAAGGGGTGGCCAGCACGTCCTTGCGGCCCACGCCGGTTCCCGCAGCTGCCATTGGCCGGGGA